GTGACTAATGAACTCTACTGTTAGGAGTGAGGGTGGAACAGGGAGGGAAACTCCATCTCTTTCCCCAGATGGAAGTCTTGAGTTGAAAAAGACCCACTGCCCCAGGCACTGTCAACTCTGGATGGCTTCCTTTTAAATTTCCTACATCTGCAGTCATTAAAGAAGTTACCTCAAAAGAACCGAAGAGTTTATTAATCTGTTTCATCCAAAGAGTCAGCCACTTCACATTATACTGAGATGGATTATGCAGGCAACAGAGAGATCCAGAAAACATCTGCTAAACAAAATCAAAATTAATGGTAAACATGATGCAGTTCTTGATAGCTGAAGTTCACCCAGATGCAGGGAACTATAAAGGGGCCATTAGAGGCAGCTGCCAGATAGGGACTAATTCCAAGGTTTTCAGAAAGTGAGACTCTGGCTTCCCACTGAGGACTGGCAGGTTATGTTTACTTTGATTTGCATTGCTAAGCAGCCCCAGCAACCAGAGACACTCAAGCGCTGTGTGTGTGTGTGTGTGTGTGTGTGTGTGTGTGTGTGTGACTGTCACTCCCTTCTTTCCTTTTCCCAGAAGACTTCCTCTCCCAGTCTCCCTCAGAGACTTGCTGGAAAGCAGGCCAGGCTGACCTGGGCTGGGCTGGAACCCAGAGCGAGTAAGCCATCCTTGGGAGGGTGAATAATGCAATGTGACATTGGTGCCCATCCTAAAACTCGCACCCTCTAATCACAGCACAATCACCCACATCTGGAGGAGCTAACACACACCCCCTGCTCCTCTGAGATGGCTGACAAGGGCTGAATTATCCCAACCACTTGCTCAGCTCACTCAAGTGTTCTCTCATGGCTGTAATTCAACGTGATGGGATCAGTCAGAGAAAAGTGCTGGTGTGAGTAGATGACTCCCGGCAGTCACACTCCGCACAGGCCCTCAGAGTGGAAAGCGAGTGTCTTGGAGAGGGAAGGTTGGCACCTCTTGCTGAAGCTTCAAAAAAGGTTGAAATTAAATTTTAGGTGTTTGAATAGAGGTTTAGAAATACCTAAACTGAAAAGCAGAAAAGATACAGCCGCCACCATAGCTCCTCCTGTGCAGATCCTGGGCATGAGGGTGGAGGGGAATACAAGACTCTTCAAGTGAAGCCATGGCCTTCTCTTCTGAGGATGCATGTGACCCTGCCAGGAGACACCCTATTGGTCTTGTAGCCCTTCCCTTATCTCTGCTACTAGATCTCCCTTGATGTTCCCAAGAGAGAGAGAGATCAAATCTAACTTGACTACAAAGCCCTTAGACTTTCTTTTGAGGGTTCTCTGACTCTTTAGGCTTGGATGTGATGAAGCAGGATCAGGGGATTTAAGCAACTGCCACCCATGAGAGTGAAGTCCAGGGTGCCAGAGGGGCATCATCCCAGAGGGAGTTCTTATCTCTACTAAGAGTCCACATGGAAAGGAAGGGGAGTATTCTGTGCATTAGGTGATCTCTGCTTGTGTCATGGGGCACTGAAGGTCAAGGGAGATAAAGAAGGTGAGAGCTCTCTAAAAACTTCATAATAACTTAGTGAGTATCCTTGTTGCCACCTCACAATTCTGTGCAGACTCAGTCTCTGGAATACAATCTTCTCAGGTGCCTGGGTACTCTGAGGAAGCTCTCCATCTTCCAGGGTTTGCAAAGGGTAATGCATGGAATGCCATCCCTGAGCACCAAAGCCAACCAAGTCTATTTTGTTGAATTCCCTGTTGAGAGTCATACTTAATATATGAAAAACCAGGAGAGATTCTGCAGCAAAAAACATCATTGAAGCAATGACCAAAAATGAACTTTTAAGTTTATTGAATCCAATATTTTCCAAGTATATCAGTATCCTCGGGCTGCTATAATAAAGTTTCACAGACCAGTTGGCTTAAATGGCAAAAATTTATCTTCTCATAGTTCTGGAAACTGGAAGTCCAAAATCAGGGGTGACAGGGCCATACTCTCACTCCCTCTCTGAAGGCTTTAGGGGATAATCCTTCCTTGCCTCTTCCTAGCTTCTGACGGTGGCCCATAATCCACTCTCTCTATCATCATGTGGCATTCTCCAATGTGCCTGTGTCTAAAGTTCCCTCTTCTTTTAAGGATGAACTCATTGGATTAGAGCCCATCCTAATCCAGTCAGACTTCATCTTAACTTGGTAACATCTGCTAAAAACCTAATTCCAAATAAAGTCACATTCACAAGTTCTAGGTTAGGACTTCAACATATCTTTCGGAGGACATCCTATAATACCAAGCTTATTTGGACACAAAGCACTTCATCAGTGCCTCAGCCAGGAATATCTAACATATCCACAGAAAGGTCTTCAAAAGTACCTTTTGAGAACCAAAGATCTCAGTGCCTCTCTTGTATCTCACCATGATAGGCCCAGGATGAAAAGACTACACAGACAATGAAGATGGGTAGCTTGTGCTGAAGTCAAGAAACAATTTCTGAGCATTGCTGGCTCTGGGCTGGGGCCATAAGGAACATGGGGATGATGGAGAGGAAGGTTTTTGCTTCTAGGCAATGAGTAACTGGATAGGAGCCCTTACATCTAAGAACTAGGGGAAACCACATACTTCAAGAAAGAGTTGGCAGGATTGAAGGGGAGTGGATTTGAGGTGGAGGACAAAGCATGGAGGCTGTGGGAACAGTTTAAAGTCAGAGGCAAGAAGGTTAGGTTTATGATCTGTGGATGCACCTAAGGCTGGGAGGAAAGAAAGGGAAATAAGGCAGAGAGCAGGTCCGAGGCACATGGGGCACTCACTTCACCCCAAAGTCCATTTCCATAGACTGTCAAGAGTTTCCAAAAGTCATACAGTGGGAAGTTGTAATGGGCCACGCATTTGTGATGCTAAACCCCAAATGGAGTGTTTATCCTGAGTCAGGAGTTACTCAGGAGGCTGCCTCTCCAGACCTGGCTGCTCTCTGGACTTCTGGGGACTCTCCTAGGCCTGGTGAACTGGGCTTTAGTTACCTGCTCCTCCTTCTGTTTCAGGTCAAGTCAGAGCCAGCAACCACTCTGAAGTGCATGTTGCCAGATAATAATGATCTATTTCTATTTGTAGGATTAATCATTTACTGAAATATTCACAGTGCCTCTATCATTTTTGTACTCATACACTATTCTGGATATTAACTCTACAACATGTGTCAGTGAATTGTCAGACCCCAAAATATTTGGAACCAACCTGCAGGGTCCTACCCTTCCTTCCTTCCTTCCTTCCTTCCTTCCTTCCTTCCTTCCTTCCTTCCTTCCTTCCTGCCTACCAGGTTGTAAGCATTGACATCAAACCATTGAACTATTTTCAGGAACTCTTAAACACTCAACTTTGACAAGCTAGAATGACATTAGCTCATAATAGGAAGGAAGAAATTTATATGTCAGGACAAATTTGCTAGTACAAACCCAAAGCGTATGTTCCCAGTCAGCTAGCTGCAAAAGCTGATGCTTCCAAAAGAGTAAGAAGTTGTAGGTAAGGACAGCACAGAATGACGGTGCCTTTGGACAATCTCATTCTTCTGGGGATTTGAAGTCATAAGTTCAAATCAGGACATTTTAAACCTTTGAGTGAAAATATATATGATTCTTCCACAAGCACAGCTTTATTAGACATGTTTCCAGTAAGATTCCCAAAAGGTTAAGTGTATATGTGATTCCTTAATGCAAATTAATTCCAAACATTCATGCTCAGGGGTTCTGACATGAATAGCATATTATTCAAAACCAAAGTTCATGTCAACTTCTCTCTTTCAGGCTATTTTTCTCCAATTTACATGGTCACTGTTCCCTCATGAACACAACTTTCAGTGAAAATATCCTTCCCTGTCCCATCCACCTTCATCCAGTTTCACTTGGTATGGATAGCCACACAATGCAGTTTGCCCTATGGATACGATTCAGCGGACATTGGGTCCAAAACCAAAGACAATGGCAAATGGGAATGGGAGACGGGAAGTTAATTGTAGTGTTAGGTTACTCATATCCTTCAGATTTGGGATTTCAGCATCATGGACAGCAGCAACCCATTGAGCCCAATATAAATAATACTGCAAGTTTATGTTCTCAAGCTCTAGAAAGACATGTTGACAACGTGACCAGCCTCACTGGGCTGCCTAACATAGGAACTAACCAGTCAGTGAGTGTGTGCTAGATTTAGGAGTAAATATGGAATCCGCTAATATTTTTTAAATTCTGTCACTCTTATTGGAGACAGTAACACCAAGAAGGATGCCATGAACCGGAAAACCAAAGGCCACACTCCTGACCAAGAACTCACATTGGTTTTTGAATTTATCTTCCTGTCCCTACAAAAAGGAGATGATCGTTAATGATTCCACAAATCACACAAAAGGCATCCTCTTAATAGGGACTATTACTGAAAGTGAATAAGGGAAATTTCTATTTCCACTAAAAGATTTCTGAAATTACCATCCATATATGCTTACCTCAGAGACCAGAAAACAAACGTGCGGGAGGAATGTCGGTAAGGAAAATAGAACATTGTGAAATCGTTTTCAAAGGGAAAATTAATTGGTTATTTCTACTTAAGTTGAGCTGAAGCCATAAAAATCTAATCATAAATATTTTTCACAGTGGTGTCTCTTTCCAGATATTGAAATACCTCAAACTATAAACCAATTTTTGCTGTTATTGACATTGATTTTGCTCTGTGAATCCAAATAATGACTTCAAGTTAAATGCAAAAACAAGGCTTATCTTAAGAGACCATGGTCACGCTCAATAGTGAGCCAGTTCCCCAGGCCCCACCTTGGATACTTGAAGATGGAAGCCATAGTTCTCACAGGCAAACCTGTCCTGCAGTCTTGAGTCCCTGGAGCCGAATGCTAAGCATTCAGCTCCCAGAAAACGCCACATGAAATTTCAAAGAAAGGGCTGTCCATAGTCTGAGTGCATCTTAGTTTCAGCAAACTACTTCCCAAATGTCAACACTGAGAGTAAAATGGATATAAGTGCATTTCCCCTACCTTCTCTTCTTGTGACTTCAAAGCTTCTTGATTCCTGAAAGAAAAGAAAGACTTGTGTTTTTGAAGAATAATTTATATAGATTCTTGAAAATACCTCACCTCTTGTTAGTCACATATTCACAAAAAGGTGAACAGGCTAGAAAGAATGTGACATGCAGCAATGTTGGGTCTACTTATTTCACACAATACACACACACACACACACACACACACATCTATAAATGTAAACAACTTGTTGCCATGGGGGCTTACACAAATACATATAAATTAATAAATTATATATACACATTTAATCATGCAATTTTTAATAAGCACAGTTAATTTTCAGACTCTTCCTTCTGTGGAATCTGGACTGGTCCTAAGTGTTAACACAGATACTGTTCCAGGTTGATGTTCCACCTCTCTGCTGGTCTGTAGGTACTTTAGGATCCAAGATTATCTAACCAGAAGCAGGTTCTAATTTGTGGTGTCACGGCAAAGATCACCAGTGTTTCCATGTGGGTCACCGACTCATCGGGTAACTGATTATACCCAATTCATAGTTTCCAATGGCTGGATCTTATGGACAACTTAGAGAGGCAGTCCATGCCACTGGACTGAATTGAGCCCTGAGATTTGCCTAATTCAGTCTCATCTTTTTGTTGCCAGCTATGTGCAGTGCAATAAGCAAACTGTTTCAGAATTACCCAGGTACAACAGAGTCTCTGCATTAATATTCACAGTTGAACAGGGAACTACAGAAGAAATACAAATTACTGAGAAATCAAAGGGTGATTTGCCATGATAAATACCAGTATTTCACATTCAGCTGGAAACATAAGTAAAAGTGCTTTTTAAAGAACCTTTGAAAATAGCACTAAAGAATGGGCAGGTTTTCAGACAGGAATATGGGAGGGACAGTATACTAGGAAGAGAAAAAAGCAGGAGAAAAGAGAAGGTGGTGGGATAATGCAGGGTAGCTCAGGATGCAGAAAATGCCCCAGTGAGAAGTAATGAGGGGAAAAGGCTGGAAATGTACGCTGTGTTTTCATCATTAACAAAAAGTATCACAAATGGCCAGCTTAGGATAAAAAGTTTAAGGTTGAGAATAAGTTGAAAGTACATGCTGGCCACAGAAGCAAAACCAGCTACCTTCTCACCTTTGCAACCAAGATCCTTCTGCATTGGTGACTTTCAAGCTAGTAGCATTGTCTCTCAGGCCTTTGCATTCTTGCCTAACATCTTCTTGTGGTCAGGAGAGGGAGGCAACCTTAGAGATGAAACTGAGGAGGCATTGAAGAGTGACTTCCCCCCAAATTATATTCCCTGACTGCACCTCTCTAATGCGTGAAAAGCCTGAGTGGAGACTAAAGGAGGACCCATGTGACGGGCTGGCAGCTCTTCACATAGCCCAAGGAACCAAATTAACCCCAGAATGCTGTTCCCCTCCCCCTTTCCCCCTTTATTTTGGTCTAGTTTCGGCATATAGAAGAAAACCTTCATCCTCTACTTTCTGAGTCCGGCTTATCTCACATAACATGATGTTCTCCAGTTCCATCCATTTTCCAGCAAATGCCATAATTTCATTCTTCTTTATGGCTGAGAAAAACCCCACTGTGTATCTATATCACATTTTCATTATCCATTCATCTGATGAAGGGCACTTACGTTGATTCCATAGTTTGGCTATTGTGAATTGAGCTGCTATAAACATTGATGTGGCTGTATCACCATAGTATACTGATTTTAGTTCTTTAAAATAATATCAAGGAGTGTTTTATAATTTTCCTTGTGTATATATTGAATATGTCTTTTTTGTATATCTTTTGTCATCATAAATAGAATCTTGTCCTCCAGTACATCTTCTAACTGGTTTTTGTTTGTATAAATGATGGCAATTAATTTTTATTTTTATTTTATAACCACTTAATTTTTTATTGTTCTTAATAGATTTTCCATTGATTCTTTGAGGGGGGGGGTTCCTATTTGTATATTTACTCTACAAAGAGCATGATCTGATCTCTCTCTCTTTCTGATTCCTATACTTTTTATTGCTTTCTCTTGTCTTATTGCCTTAACCAATTCTTCACTCTAATGTTAAATGTTGTGAACATGGTGAGCATTTTTATCTTCTTTCCAACATTAGGAAGAAAATCTCATTATTCCCTATTAAGTAAAATGCAGTATTTTGGCCTGAGTTATGTTTATTTTATTAATGAAGTCAATATGCATTTTATTGAGTTTTTAAAATAAATGTATGTTCTACCTAAAAATAGCTTGTTCCCTTACTCATTTATTTATTGACTCTTTCCCTCACTGGAATGAGAGCTGGGATGGAGCCAGTATCTTTTTCACTCTTGCATCCTCAGTGCTATAATAGAGCAGATGCTTAATACACATTTGTTGAATAAAAATAAAACAAAATATGTGCTGAATCTTATCAAGTGCTTTTCTGCATTTATGGAGATGATCACATGAGTTTCTTCTTAGCTCTATTAACATGATGACTTATACAGTGGATTTCATAATGTTCCACCATCTCTGTATTTCTGAACTTAGCTTCTGAGTCAGGATATACTTTTCAAAATGTGCTCCTGGATCTGTTTGATAGGTTTTTCATATGTTTTTACATTGTTTGGTTTACATATTTTATATTTATATTCATAAACTACAGTTGTGTATCTTTTTTCAGATTAGGAATTTCAATGATACCAGCTTTTTACTATGAATTTGACAGTTTTCCTTTTACTAAGTTTGGGAATAGTTTAAATAAAACTTGAATCATCTTATCTTTCAAGGTTTTCCCCACTTCATTTAACCAGACATTGATTAAAAAAGAAAAAAGAGGTTAAACTTGACCAAGATCTTACATTTTGGTCAGTGGCCAACTGAGAATCAAATCTCAAAATCATATCTTAAAGCCTGTTCATATAATATTCCATATTCTAAAATAAACTAGCAGTACTTATTTATGACGATATTATAAAAATTAAATGAGATACACCTCCACTTCAGAATGGAAGAATAGCTTGTACTGGACTAATTCTTCTGCTAAGAACAACTATAACAGTTACATTTTTAAAAAATAAATGAAAAGGTTTTGAAGGCTCCCAACAGCAACCAAGGCATCAGAACTGAAAGGCCAATATTTGGAGAGAAGAAAAGTCCATTGAGGTCATCCCCAAACTCACCATTGTCCAGGGGAAACTGGTCACCATTGTTTTGGTCATCATTGTGATTCCATAAACTTAATCTCATAGCACTAATTTTTCTTTTCTTTTTTTTTTTTTTTTTGTCAGTGCTATGGCATTATAACATTTCAATTCCATTGAGCTTCTGACCTTTTGTAATCATATTGACATGTAATTTAGTTCTCCAAGTATTTTTTACATTATAGGGCATTATTGTTATGTTAGGCAGTCAGTCAAAATATATTTATATTTATCCCTTTATAATTTTTTTTACCTTTTCTGGTGCTCTTCATTCTTCTTGCATTTATCTCAATAATTTTTCTTTTTCCTCAAGAGGTCCTAATAGTATTGCAATTTATTCTGTCAGGTTTTATTTGTATAAATGTATCATTATTTGGTCTTCATTTAGCCTGCCTTATGAATACCTGTATTTCCAGTGGATATTAAATTTTAAGTTTTTTTTTTTTATTTTTTTTCAGAATTTTAAAAGTGTCATTCCATTGTCCTCTGGTTCCATTATTTTCTCCTGAAATGTCAGCTATCACTCTTACTGCTGCTCTATTGCCATCACTCACCCTCCAGTTATTTTTAAGATTTTCAGCTACTTTTTCTGTGAATACATATTGATAGTTTTCTTTGTATTGATTTTGCATGGGGTTTGTAGAGGTTTTCAATTTCTGGCTTGATGCCTTTCACTGATTTTAGAAAATATGCAACCAATATGTCTTCAAATAATGGTTCAGACCAATTTCTTCTCCCCTTGGACTCTGAAATTTCAATTGCATGCTTGTTAGACTTTTCACTATGCTACCTATCTCTTTTTTTCTACACACTTTTCTATATTTTCATTCTCGTTATTTTTCCTTTCAGGTCTTCAATCTAGTTATTGTCTACTGATCTTTCATTTGACTTTTTCTATTTTTAGTTGGGTTGAATCAACTATCAGATTTATTTGTTGAATTCTTTTATTTAATTTTCAGTTCTAGAATTTCCATTTGATTATTTTCTAGTAGATTCTAATTTTATGGTGTATTTTAGCATTTTTTCTATTTTCATGAATGTATTAGCCATAGTTATTCTAAAGCATGTGTCTCTTCCTTTTAGGATCTAGATAGCCTGTGGGTCTATTTCTGTTACCTGTTTCCTTGAATTTTGTCATTTGATGCTGTTCTTACATATTTAGTATGGATGCTGAGATTATATATAGAAAGCCCTGGGGATGACTTTATAGCCTTCCACAGAGGTGTTACTTGTCTTTGATAGACAAATGGAACATTAGTGGATCATCTTGATATACTTGAGAATAGAAATTATTCTTGGGACTAGAAATTATTCAAGAGTATATGGAGTAAACAGAAACTTTGCTGCATTAACCAGGGCCATTCTTTTTTGATTCATTTTTGTCTCCCTTGTGGGGAGTTGGGGAGGTCTTAGGTTTCATTATTTGAGACTTATTTGAAGCTACCTTTTTTATTGCTTATTTGAGGCAAAATTTTTTTTACTTGTTTCTTGGTCTCTTGCCCTGCATATGGGCTACTCATAATCAGTCATAATCATATAATCCCAGGGCAAACTGTGTGCAAGATACTGCACTCACTTCCTTCTGGTTCCCTTTTGTGTGTATGTGTGTGTGTGTGTGTGTGTGTGTGTGTGATTTAAATACAAATGGGTTAGAATACAAATATTGGCAAATTAGTTAAAATCCAACTTATGTGGTTTGTAAGAGATATAAACATAAGGATACAAAAGGATATATAAAAGCTAGATGTAAAAAGGTAGGAAAGAGCCAGGTATGGTGGCACATGCCTGTAATCCCAGCAACTTGGGAGGTTGAAGCAGGAGAATCAAAAGTTCAAGGCCAGCC